AGACTATGCAGATTATATATAACATTACTACTAGAAAAAAACAGTCTATAAAAGTGTATACAATATGCTTTCTGCTATGCTGCAATTTTCTTAATGGCTTTGGAAGCAATCCATATTGGTTTTTATATTCATAATGATTTTCTGATGCATTTTCAATCATATGTGAATTCTTTTGGCAGCTGTGGTTCTTGCTTATTTTTTGCTACTTTTGTTCCATCTATTGTTTGTGGTTCCTCTCTACTGTCTGCTTGTTCTGAATGTCGCCTTTCAGAAGCTGAAATTACCAACTGGGCGTTTGGTTTCTGTGTCTTGTTCCTGGCTACTTCCGACTCATCTATCAACTTTTCACACCAATGAGTGTTTCCTTTGTGTTTTGGTCCTCTTCTGCAGAGGCAGTGCTTGGCTCTTTATTTACACTTCTGCTGTATTTTCTTTCTTCTAGAAGTAAGGGAATGATTATTGGGTCTGATTAACTAATATGCACTGAAGACTTATTTCCCTATGTTAATATTGAAGCAGTTTTGTTAGCATTACAGTAAAGCAAGTTAATATAATAGCATATAAAGTGACATTAATGCTAGATAGCACTTAAAATCTAAATGGCAAATACTTTTTCAGTCATTTTAAATTTTTGTCTTTGGACAGAAACCAAGTGTCAAAACTCTCATATAAATAAAAATACAGAAATACTTGGAAAAGTTAGGCGGATGTTAGAGTCATAATGAGACTTTTTGAAAGTTGGGTATATGCAAGTACTATTAGACATCTGTTTCAGTAAGTTAAAGGAGCATCTTACTAATTCTCTTTTTCCAATTTAATCATCCCCAAATGTCAACAAGGACTAGGTTCATTACTCTCCCTTTGGAAAGGAAGTCTTGTCTTAGGAAGACTTGATCAGGAATAGTTTCTAAGCATATTCAAATATAACTACTTCTGAGTGATTTTATGCCTCTGAAGATGCAGTCCTTCAGTCATGAAAATGAACTGTCATTCCTAAACTGGCATCACTTCATTGTGTAAGGGCATTTGTAATAATTTTATATTTTGGATTTTCAAATGTACTCTTCATTTGGCTTCTAAGTCTTAGGTATAAGATGATATGCATCACAGAAACTTGTTTGATCTGATGAGAGGCAAAGAATGCATGTTGCTGTATTTCTTTGTTTCTGGAGAACCAGTTATGGCCACAGTGCTAAATTTCAGGTTATCCTGCTTATAGAGTTCATTGCAAAAAAAAGATAGTGGAATGGAGAAAGTGTGAGAGAGAGAAAGGTATAAATGCATCATGGTAAAAAAGAGGTCTTAGAAGAAACAGACGTAGTTAACAATGGAGGAGTTAGTAACTGAGAAAGTAGTTTTGTCCCTCCTTTGACAAGGCACCTATTTCTCATGACAGGTTTAAGCTTAATTTTGTTGTTGAACACGTCTGGACGCTGACTTTTTGAAGAAAAGTCTAGGACACATTCTCAGTGTTCTGGAAAACCATGGTAAACTACGATTTTGCCTGTCTATGTTAGTAGAACAACAAGGAGAAGTCAAATATGAAATAAATCCTTAACTATTACAAAACCTTGTGAGAATTGTTGTTTCTCAGGTACCTTTAATTATTTACTCTCTTTCTTGGAATTAGCAGTTATTTGCTGTTCTAGGTAAATCTCTAGAAAAGTGATCACAGAATGAGTTTACTGTGTCCTCTCCTTGTTGCTAAGTAGGCCATTGACGTGTTTCTAGAAAGGACAGCATAAACCCCCAAAAACCCAATTCATATAGAAGAACTTAAAAGAAATGAATCATGACAGTCGCTTCTCATGTCTTCAATAAAATATATCTTTCATGTTTCAATGGCTTGAGTCCTAATCATCATGATTTTTTAAATAACTGTGAACAGCTTGTGATTCACCACTGTAAAACTAATGTCTCGCAGCAATAACAACGTAACTGTAGACTTGATCTAAGGTGGGAATCCTGCCAAAAACAATTAGACTTTCTGCATTATCCACTGGATCACCATTATGTATTTGGAAATACCATCTCTTCTTTTCCCTCCTGCTCCTGAGAGACCAAATGCCCTAGAACATTGGCAAGCATTTCTCTTGAGAGTCTAAGTGCTCATTTTTTAGCTAGTTTTATATTACATGGCACAGGTGCCCTCCCCCTTATCTTTAAAGGAATTTCACACACAAAAGCACAGCGTACAACCGTGACCCTGATCACTACTGATGAAAATGTATTTTTGCATGGGTTAAAGTTGATCCTGATTTTCTAGCTGACCCACAGAGTCTAGTATTTGCTAACGTGTGTTATGTCCTTTCTTTCAAGATTTCTGTTAGAAAGAGTTTTTATCTCGCATCCAAGGGGCCCTGTTTCAATTAAATAAGAGTTTATATCTCTGTGGCAGGTTTCATAATAATTTCAAATATATAAAATGTTTTTGCTTTTATCATATTGTTTGTCAGGATTGCGTAGATGTGTGTGCGGAGTGCAGTTTTTAAGCTGCAGGTTCTGTAAGTAGCTAGAATGGCAATGACTTGACATACCCAGCTGGAGGTGGTGCTTCTTGCTTGTCTCTCACTTTGTGCAGGAGAGGAGATCAAAATTCCCCTTTTACCCGCCTTCCCCAGAAGACCACACATACGTGTAAGGACTGACGACTTGCCAGGTGTAAAGATTACTAAATGGAGAGTTGTTCGCTGTGTTAATCCAAGAGAACTGTGTTCGATCAATAGGCAGTAGTGAGGAGAGGTGGCATGAGTTCGTGCTGTGCCAGGGAGGATGTTCAGGTTGAAGGACCAGCAGCTGTCTTCTGAAGAGTGTGGAATGGGTACATGTTTGTGTCACTGAAGGGGAACAGAACTCCTTCACCTGTCCAAGTATGGGACAGAGGTATTAACAGCTCTGTCCTGTGGATGGAAGGTATATGGGGAAGGAACAGAGACTGGAGTCCAGTGCTGCAAAGACCCAGGCTTTTCTTTGTTAGGGGTGGCAGTGGTGCTTCTGAGAAGGGACCACCTATAGTTTTCAACTTTTCTGGTGCAGGCATCTGGACCTGGTTTTTGACTGCTGTAGGCGGTGTTACATCATCTGTACCTAAAATCCTTGATTGGTGATTGCAGTAAAGCAGTAAGTGTGACAGGAGATGTGATAGCATTCCAGGAGTCAGCAATACTGAACCCAGTGATTCCGGGATGACCCTATTGTTGTCTCTGTCACCTTATATGCAGCATTAAAATGGTTTAATAGAGAAGATCACAGTAGTGTGCCAGTAACAGTCTTCTGCAGAGTTCTCGCCCAGTGAGAACTGGTGATTTATTTTAATATGCATTTTTGAAGGTGGATTATGAGACATTAATGCTTTTATTGTAGTAAGTTCAGACAGTATTTAGCCTTTGCTACAGATGGGAAACAATGTCTCACGAGTGTGTGGGGAGGCAGCGAGCTGGTTTTGTCTCACTACTGGAGTTCCCCTAACTTAAATAGAAAAGGTATTCAGAACATTCAGTCTTTTTCAGAAACCTTTGTTCAACATGAGCAGTGTTATACCCTTAAGAGGTCTGACTATCTTGTACCCTAGCCCTGGAAAACCTGCAGCATCCTTTAATAAAGGGGTATTACTCATCAAGTTTTTTAATCACTTGTATTCTTTCACCTGAGGTGAAATTCTGACCTAATTAAAGTTAATAGGTGATAACTGTTGAAACTGACAGATTGTGAATTTCACCCATACTGTTTAGGTGCTTTTAATTGGAGTATAGAAATAATTAGGGTATGAGAGATGACTGAGGTAGCAAAGATAGATAGGCAAAGCCATGAAAATAGAATAGCAATAAATCATTACAGGCATAAAGGGATAATAATTTAAAAAAAATAAAGATGTGATATCTTTAAAAGAGAAAATATTCAAATCTGAAACACTTTAAAAATAAGTCGACTTATTTTTGCCCTTAGGTGAATTATATTCAAGGATTAGTGCACTAAATAGATGGGCAAAGATGGCTTCAATTGCACTGTGATTTTTATCTATAAGGAGATGAGGTATAGTAGGGATTGCAATGAGGCTTTTTTCATTCTCTCTGCTTTTCTCTAGAAGGGTGTCTCTTGTTCAAGGTGACTATATGCAAACCAAAGAATGCAATAGGTGATAAACGAGAATTAAACAGAGGTGAACATTTCCTTACTGTACCCTGGTTTTAGAGCTTAGGCACTAGTACAGACTGCAGTGTCAAAGAAGAGAATAACCCAGAAGAATTAGCTCTTTTACACAAGCTGCGGTGGTCGGTAACACTCATCAATTGGCTTGAATTGTCTCCAGTGATAAAAAGTGAATAATCATCATGTTATTTACACCTATGAGGTTATTCTTTCTGCAGCATGACCGCAAGTGTCCTCCAAAAGGACTAGCTTTTGCTGAGTCCTTCAAAGCAGGAATTAAAATAATGCCTTGAAACTGAAGGGTTTTAAAGCCAATCAGCTTCTTACTTTTCTACTGTTAATAGATTTGTTTCCAGTTTTGGCTTTATATTTCCCCAAATTGAAAGTTATTTAAGGTCTTTTGCAAAAACCTCAGTGAGTCTAGACCTCAGAGTGCATCTATTTTTAACATGACAGAAAATGATCTATTTCCATAATACTATGGTCATAATGACGCATTTTATAAATGACAGCTGCCATTGATGTTTTCATTATTGTGCTTTACAGTATAAATTGAATTTGAGAATAACGTGATTAGTTTTATTTCTAAATTACTTGTCTAGGAATGTGAACCACATCTCTGATTTTTTAGTTTTTTGTTTTGTTTTGTTGGTTTTTTTTCTAGTGAAAGCTTTATATTACTGATGATAATACTAACACGTAATCTCCATAACAGAGTATTACTGTTTTCTCCTGGCATTTATGTGATCAAACATTTAAATTATTTCTCATAAATATACACATGATAGAGTTTTCAATAATTTTTTTAAAAAATTCTCCCACCTAATTGTTTTTTTCTTTTTCCCTCCTAGTCTGCTCCCAGTTTTCAAGAGGAGTCTTTGCTATTTTTGGATTCTATGACAAGAAGTCTGTAAATACCATAACATCTTTCTGTGGGACTCTTCATGTCTCCTTCATAACTCCCAGCTTCCCAACAGATGGAACACATCCCTTCGTGATTCAGATGAGACCTGATCTCAAGGGAGCTCTTCTTAGCTTGATTGAATACTATCAGTGGACCAAGTTTGCATACTTGTATGACAGCGACAGAGGTAGGATGTGGTACTTCTTATCTGCATGCTGTTTGGTAGCCGTATCTCACTGAAATGCTGAATTAGTATTAGAAAAGTAAATGAGGATAAGAATATTTACCTGCAGCAAGTGTAAGTGTAAGCTTAAATTCAGAAATGAGCTTTTGGGACAGAAACAAAAGTATTTAAATGAGAATAAAATTCTTACAGTATGTATTAAAAGAATTGCAAACATGCTGATAAGCAATATGAATTTAATATAATGTTGTAAAACAGTTCCTATGGAAAGGTTTTTTACTTTTTTTTTAAAGAATCATCTAAGGAGAAAAAAAAACAAACATCTGAGCTTGAAGGGCAGTCTGTTACCACAGATTCACTCCACACATGCAAAATCAATAGCTGGGCACCAAGCAATCTTGGATGCAGTCCCTGCTTCTTTGGAGACTGCTTTTGATAAATACTTGAGTTCCTCTCCTCTGAGCTTAGATATTTTTTTTTTGTTGTTGTTGATAAACACAAATCCACTGCTTGTGAGCAATTTATTTCACGGTACAGCCTTCTCAAGTCCTATGTACTTTTATAGCTGTAGTAATAATAATATGGCAGTGTATGAAATGGGAAAATAACTTGCAAATTCTGGGCTATCAATTATTTTTCTGAGAAGAAGCAACATTATATGGAAGTGGCGTTTTTTTGACTGCCTTTTTTGGAATTCCATTCTAGTCCTTGGTTAACTTTTTTCTACTCTTAGCTTCTCCTGTTCACTTGAAAAAGGCTATTTTGTGGCTCACCTGCATGTTTGTTGGTCAGAGTTGAATATTAAGTGCACATTAAATGGTAAGATGCCACTAGATTTAAAGGATAATTATACCACACCAAGGATTGTTGAATAATGATCTTTCATTCTGATGCCATTTTATACATGATAACCTCCTCAAGACAGTTCTTTATCACTGTTATAAGCACTAAAGTTACAAAATCTAATACTGGTATGTAGCTTCCAACAGTAACGTCACGTGGACAATGAACAGTCCATTTCCCTGGCAGATCCTTTTCAAATTCACATTAGAATAAGAAACATTCACTGCCTTTGTAGAAATGAGAGATGTAAAACTACTTGCTTAGCCAGTATTCTGTCAATCATCTAGCAGTTCTCATTATATGGCCTGTGTCTGATTTATATTTAGAAAATACTGAAAAAACCCCTAGTTCTTCTTGTGAGCTGCGCTGGCTGAATCTGGCCAGGAATAACAGCATGAAATTGTTTTTCCAGTCACCCTTTGGTTATACCTTTTTTCTTATTTGTTTGTGTTAATTGTAGCAAGGCACCCCAGTGATAACAAGCTCCAAGGCATGAAGCTCCTACCTTTACGTTGAGTAAATCATTGCTCCTCAGTGCTCCCACTGATTGCACGAGGTTAACCTGCAGAGTCCAGCAGTATGTAGTCAGCAACACTGACATCAAACCCTGGATACGCCGGCTCCACAATTCCTCTAAACACTTTTGCATAAGTGTTAATGTAATGACAGTGATGTATATTTGAGGCATTATACGTAATATAGAATCTTTCCACCTTCAGGAGTGAGATAAAAAAGCCAAAGAGACTTACTCTTCATGGAAGCTGTGAAAGCTAATTGGTAATTAATTTGATGACTTATTCCAAAGGAATAATTTATTGCTACTTCTACAGCTCCTGTGCGGTGTGGGGCTGACTGGTTGAAGAGCAGGGCAATTTCCTATCTCCTTCTTGTCTATAAGAAGTGAGGCTATTCAGGCCTCAGTAATAGCCTGCATATCCAGGTTATTACTGGCTTAATATGGCGTTGCTCTCATACTGTGGATTAGTGTCCTTTACCTTCCTTTCCTCCTCCGCATTGTCAGTACTAAATAGTGGGTTTTGGAAAAAGTAGTGACATTATTGGAGGATTCTATCTGTAACAGAATTGGTAATTTACTCAGCCTCTGTTCAGTCATCCTTTTCAGAGCTCACTGAATTAAGAGTTTGTCTCATTATAACTAAAAGATGTTCAGGCTCATGAGGTTCCCAAACAGAAGTATTCCTGCAGTTTAAAAAAAGCAATGGAAGTTGTGGGAGTTTTCTCCTCAGCAGAGTTCCACTTCCATACCACTCTCCAGGTGCTTCCATGTCCACAGAAGTATTGCTGTGAGTGCCTTTGTTGGTTTGTTTTCCATTCTTTTGCAATGTGTTATTGCTCTCAGAATAAACTAAACTGTATGAGGATGAGAAATCTGCCACCTATAAAAAGTAAGAAATCCAGGAAGCCATTTGACATCTCTGCAGAGAGCGCCCCAAGGAAAGGGAGTCCCTAGGAAAAACTGAAGATCAGAGGAGTAAAATATGGAAATCCTTTGTAATGGATGGTATTAACATTAATAGCACTTATTAATTTAACCCTAACTGAGATCCAGTTTAACTCAGAGGAAACATATAGACAGATCGGAGGACCTGAAATCTAAATGCTATCTGAAACAATGATCTGGATTATATCTGTTTCAGCTTGGGTGGGTTTTTTTGTGGTTTGGTTTGGGTCTTTTTTAATTATTTTAAGTTACCTTATAAAACACTATTTTGAGGTACAAGCTTATTTTAATGCTTTTTATTGTTTTAAGATATTTTCTACATCTTTTAGTGTGCTTACATTAATTATCTTTTCCTTTTAGCATGAGTTCTCCACTTTTATCTTTAACATGTTATGTGTACCCTTGGACTGTAGTTTTCTGTTATTTTAAAATAAATATTCATTGCATAACATACAAAATTTCATATCAGTCTTCTTTAAAGATGACAAAATAAAACAGAACTATTTGAGATCATAACTGAATTTCTGCTTTTGGAAGCCTGCCATTTTCTACCTTTGCTGATGACCAGGCTTCTGTAGTACTGTATGTCTTTATCGTTTTCACTGATAAAGCTGAATTGCTAAAAACTGACCAAGTTTAATTTAATGATGTATTTACAAGCTATAAGAAGAATTATTCTTAGTGCTTTCTTTCTACATTTATAGGCATAACTAATACTATTTCTCATGGGAGTTACACCTGAAGCTTCCTTTACATGCCAACTCAGAAATTTGTCTCAAAAAAATCACTCCTGGTGTTCTGTGGTTTCAGGGGAGATGAATATGCAAAACTGTCAGTTGGCTTGTGAGAGTCTAATTTTCTCTTTTTTCTGTAATACAGTCTGCTATCCTCAAAATTGCTCTGTAGAATTATGTAGAATTCTCTGGAAGGAATTTAAACACAACAAGTCTAATTTCTGTGCTGCTGGAAATTGTTAAAATGGTATCTGTTGTAAAGCAAAAATTCATTTCCAGGAGTAATTTTCATGTTTCTATACTCTGTTATTTAATCCTTGAAAAGGAAAACCAGTCAAGTAAAATCTTCATGATTTTACAATATATTGTAGGCAACTTCAGCTGTACAGACATTACAGCTTCCTTGCAGGAATATGCCAAAAGGATAAAATGGAAGGAAACTCTGTAGACTGCTCGTAGGTGTTATCATTGATCCTAATTATCTATATGGAAAAATATATCTCATCACATCTTCTTTCAGAATCAGGGATATGACTGTAGGCAACAGAAAGAAAAACTCCATTAGCACCACTGCAGAACATGGGGATTTTGCCATAGACCTCAGTGAGGTCTGGGTTTAAATACAGCACTGCTCAAGCACTGAGAACAAAATTGATTCAATAGCATTTCGTAATAAGCAGCTGATCCTCTTGCCATAATTGGATCACTTTTCTCCTTGAAGACCTCTTTCTCAGCATGTGGAATTCCAGCAGTAAATTAGTGTTACTGGCAAAATCCCGTTCTCAAGAGGGTTGAAGGAAAACCAAAAGGTTGTCCTTACAAGGCTGTACTCTGATTCCTTGCAGCGATGTAACTAGACATTTCATGCAGTAAGAACTGATTTGGGCCACACATCTTCATTTCTGAGTCCTAAGAATGTGTGACAGGTCAAACAACTTACAGGGAAATCTTAAATAAGTAATCTCATAAATCACATTCTAGAAGCTTGTTATTCCTGAAGCTTTATCAGTCATATCTTCTGTTTTCCCCTGTGCTTCACTAGGCTTATCAACGTTGCAAGCTGTGCTGGATTCTGCTGCTGAAAAGAAATGGCAAGTGACTGCTATCAATGTAGGAAATATTAACAATGACAGAAAAGATGAAACTTACCGATCACTGTTTCAAGATCTAGAGGTAAAAAAGGAAAGGCGAGTGATTTTGGACTGTGAGCGCGATAAAGTCAACGACATTGTTGATCAGGTTTGCTATTCTCTGTTCTTCAGTGACAGCAGTTAGCTTTATTCTATAAGTAAACGTGATGAGTTCATTTCTCTTGATCCTATTTTTGTGATTATTATGCATCATTTGGAAGTGACAGGTTTGTATTGAGAACCATGTATATATCAGGCAGAAAGTGAACATACAAATCCTATAATCCCTCCCTTTGCTCAAAAGCAAGATAATTCTATCTGAATGATTCCATATGGTTTTATATCCTGATTATTTAATTAAAAAAAAATTAAAATTTCATTAAGGCCATTTCACAACCTCAGCAGTATACTATACTATAGGTAGTTGATACATTACTATATATGGTGCATTATAGATAGTTATATTATGTATAGGGATTAGTTCTCCTTACACCTAGAAAGTATTTTCTACTTCTGATGCCTTTCTCCAAGAACTTTTTACATCTTGGGAAGGCTGTATCAGCAGCTTCTCTTTTCCATTTAACTTCCTTCGTAGTTCATATTTCTAAACTTTGTCATTCCTACTGTCCTTGGGTCTCTCTTCAATTTGTTTTCTTCTTAAATTGTGTTAACCAAAATTGGATGTGGTTTCCCACAACTAAGGCCTCCTGAGCTTTAAACAGAAGAGAAAATTAATGTCTTCACTCCACTCACACATACATTATTTGCCAAAATTATGATATGTTTTTTAACTTATTTTTTTCACAACAGCATCTCAGTGCTCTGATTCAAATTATTACATTACCTTCAATTCCACCTCTTCAATCCTAGTGTGTAGAAAGGTCTTACTGTCTCTGTATCTTCCTCTTTTCATGCATGCAGAGCACAATGGAAAATTGTAAGAATAGCTCCCTGCTGGCTTGAGCTTCACCATGTGAGACTGTGCAGCATTTGTAGGGATATATCGTCAGAGTTTAGATATATTGGTTTTTAACTTTTTTGAAAGGCTTGTTATTTTGGTGTTTATTATGAAGGTTGTTACATTTTAGAGAGGCTCAGGCAGTGAGCATTGTCCTAAATGGAGTGCACTGTATTTTTGTGTTTTATTTGAATTCATATCCACAAACTGTTTCAATTTGAATTTAATCCTGTTCTCCAGAGCATTTGCAGCCCTTCTATCATCTGCAGTTTTTTAAAATCATGTTTTCTGATCTGTTATCCATGTCAAGAAATTTACAGAATAGAGCAGTGCTTGAGAGAAATAGTACTTATAGGTCCTCTTCAGCTGGTTCTGTGTGACTTTTCAAATGGTTGTTTGCTTACCTCACAGTGTCATGTCTGTGTTCCCTTAAGAGCTTGTAATGATGTAATACAGGACAAAAGCCTTTTTAGACTCAGGATATGTCACATCTGCTGTTTCCTTATCATCTATTAGACTAGCTGTCATGTCAGAGAAAGGAAATAAATTGTTTTGACATATTTTGATCTTGAAAAGACCATATTGACTGTTTATCATCTTAGTATCCTATAGATGCTCTTAAAATTAAGTATGTAACATGCATTATAATCTTTTCCCTGATAGGAAAGTCGACTGCAAGTTTCTTCAGTTTCTCCTTTTACCACTTTTTAAAGACAAGACGCCTCTTTGCCATTTAGTTACCATTCGTTTTTACTATCTGTTTGTTTAGTGACAGACCTCCTTTTTTTTTTTTTTTTCAACTGCTTCTTCTTTTGATTGCATCTCTGGGATAATTTTCTTACCCTAATTGCACTTTGATAGATTCTGCCTTCTTTTGAGCCTTAAATTTTCTCAGCTTATCCCCACAGACTTGTGCTACTCATTAAGCATACAGATGGATAAACTTTTGTTTCTGCTGTTTTGATTTGTAAGTCACTAAAGAATTTTAGATAACTGGATCAGCCACATAGGTCAGTTAATATAATTCCAATTAGTTGTTCTTCTCAAAATAGTTTACTGCTATGCCCCAGAACATGGTCTTTTCAGCTGGTGTCAGCTGTCTCATGGGTTTAGCCTTGAAATTCTCTTTGCAAGATACCATAGCAGTTTCTGGAGTTTGGTTTGGTTACTCTGTCCATTACCTTTACACTCTGTTTCTGTACCTTCCCTTCCTTACACGAGAAACTTAAAGTGGGTTTACTTTTTTAAGTAGCCTAAAATAAAATCTAAAATAAGTGTTTCTCTATTAATTGTCTCCGTTTCTTAAAATGAAGGTTTTTCTGAGCAATGGATTTCTTGGCCTGTGAGTGTTCTTTGAGTGTGGTGTTCTGATTTTCTTTTCTAAAAGCAAAATATGTGCTTCAAGTCTTGCTTTGCTATCAGATTTATTGTTTAAAAAAATCCTTTTAATTCCTGCACAGAAAAAAAAAAAAAAACGCTCAGCAATTTCCTTCATTTCATGAGGGGCCCTGTGTATCAGTAAACCCTTTCTTTTCCTGTGTTTTTTTTTTTTACTGGGAGCCATGTAGCTGGTTTTCTGTTGACCAGATAGTGACATAATATTTGGATTCTTGGTACAAAGAGCAGCAACTTCTTTACTTTCTTCCTTCCTTTATATTCTTAAACAAACATTCTATTGTAGTGCTTTGATTTATCCCACTAACATATTAAGCTGTGGCGGCAACCTCAGGTTCACCAAGTATAGTCTGTAGTCCTTGGATCTTTTTATAGACATAATGTGTTTGTGAAGTTGCTTCATCCTTCTTGTTTTTTGTCTCATGTTATAGTTTCTCTTGCAGATTTCAATGATTTATTTAAGTTGAAGTTGAAAAGTATTTCAGTTCCCCAGCTCTCCTCAGACTAGTTTATATTCCTTTTTTCTGATTTGGCAGGTCAGTGTTACCATGCTTTTCATTATGTAGCCTCTATCTCTTCTCAGGCAGCTTCCTTTGCAGAATGTCATTCTACCCTGATAACACCCTTTGGTCAGCTGTGCAACTACTGCCACTTCTGTGAGCCTAAACTAGGGACACCGGTGAATACTTTTTGTGTCCAAGCTCTTTCATCATGGCTTTTGGAGCCACCTCTCAGAGTTTTAACTGGTAGCATCCTTAGTGTTCATATGAATGAGTGGCAAAGGGCAATGATTTAGAAAGCTAGATTAATGAAATAGTACCCAGAAGCAGTTAGAGCAGAGTTACTAATCATTGATCCAAAGACTTGCAACTACCAGCCGTTTTCTCAGATACCAATGACAAAGAAACATTTTATGCAGAGGAACTAATATGTTTGATCTACCTGAAACTTCCTTGGAAGCAGCAGCTGCATAAAGAATACATCTGAACATAGTTCTTAAACCTTGCAATAAGTAATGACTTTTAAGTAGTCTGAACCAAGTAACTCTTTTAGAATAATTAATTTCATATATCATGTATATATTGAGCTCAAAAGAGGAATAATTGAATAACTTCTATGGCCTATGTAATGTGATCCCTCTCAGTTTCAGACTCTAGTAACATAAAACTTAGTGTTAAACACTGCCTTCAGTTATATTATATTTCTGTAACTGAAGCAAGTATGTGGAATGTTGTTCACTACTAGCCTGATATTTGAGGAAAGACTGAGGAAGCTGGAATTGTTTAGCCTAGAGAAGAGGAGGCTGAGGGGAGACCTTATTGCTCTCTACAACTACCTGAAAGGAGGGTGTCGTGATGCGGGGGTCGGTCTCTCCTCCCAAGTCACAGGTGACAGGACAAGAGGAAACGGCCTCAAGTTGTGCCAGGGAAAGCTCAGGTTGGATGTTAGGAAGAATTTTTACACTGAAAGGGTTATTAACCATTGGAATGGGCTGCCCAGGGAAGTGGTTGAGGCACCATCCCTGGAAGTGTTCAAAAGACGGGTTGACATGGTGCTTAGAGACATAGTTTAGTAATGTGGGGGGTGCTTTTGTATCATTTTCTTTTGTTGGTTTTTTTTATTTTATTTTTTATCAGAGTTAGCTTGATGGACTAGATGATCTTTAAGGTCCCTTCCAACCTAGACGATTCAATGATTCTAAGTTACAGGATACCTATTCTGAATATTTTAGTTAATTGTTAAATGAGGAAATAAACGAATCATCCTCTCTTCATTTAAGTTCATTTCATTGTTCCAGAGATGGAAGAAACCTCTAGAGTCCTCTTACCTCCCACATCCTTTTTCTGCAGAAGTGTTTTGCTTCAAAATGCAAACTTCCCCATGCAGACATAGCCTTAACTAGGCTTATTTGGGAGAAGAATCCATACTACATGCCTGCCAGTGGAGACTGAGAAACCACCAGCTGTCTTTGAGGAAGATGCGGAGGAAGCCTTAGGGCATTAAACAACAATTTGAATTTTAAAATACTTCCTCATAATGTAGATGCTTTCATTAATGTCAGTGGGCTTTTAAACTTTTTCTAGTTCAAGGAACATTACAATTCTGCTACAAAGGGAGCATAATGTAAGCAGGAGTCTCTGAGACACAGTGCTTCTACTGCATGATGCCTGCTCTCTCCTGTCCAGGTTGTGCCTTTAATACACAGCATAGTAATTAGCATTCAACTCCTCTGTTTACAGATCTTGGGACTTGGACTTCAAAATGACTAATTTCCACCAGCAGAGAGTATGTTCAATGGTGCATTAGGTAAAATGAAGGGTAAAGCACTGAACAAACTCAGTATTGCATACCATAAAGCGCATAACTAGTTTTAACATCATACTGCATTTTGTATTTTTTAAGTCTCAGGTGAACATTCTCCATTACGGGGGTATTTCTTCTTTTTTACAGGTTATCACAATTGGTAAACATGTTAAAGGATACCACTATATCATTGCAAATCTGGTAAGCATTTTTAATATTTAAAATATCTGTATTACTTTGCTGTTTGTGGAAGCACATCAACTAGTATTTTGTTTTAAATGCATTTTAAAAAATAGAAAAAAGCTAAATGACTTTATCCTCGCTAATTGAATGCATATGCTGAGATGGTATTTGTTTTATTGGGTGAGTCTGTTCACATCTTAGATGCCTCCTGTGATATTCCCATCAATGGGAGTAAAGGTTGCTTGCCACCTTCAGCAGCACTTCATACCTTTTTCTACATACTTTACAGAAGTAAGGTACAGAAATCAGAAAAATAACTTTCTGTGTTATAGGCAGATACATTCATTCAGCAAACTGATGTTACTTTTCTCACCTCTAAAGTAGTTTAAAATTACAGTTCTCAGTTTTCATTCTGCTAGACTAGTGAGTCTCAGCTTTACCCATCTTCGTTCCTCAGATTGGCTTGGTAATCAGTTTCAGTGAATCTGCTCTTGAGCACAGGTGATCAGGCAGTATAGCTAATAGTGTTCCTAAGGGGGAAAGTTCAGGAAACTCATTAATTCTGTCAAAGTATTTTTTCTTTAAAATCGTGTCTAAAGATGAAGTGCCATTTTACTGACGTTAAAGTCAACAACACTTGCTTACTGCAGCCAGGGAATCTAATCCAATGGCTTTTTGTTAACAGACAAAGCAAATTCTGCAGGCTTGAATCTCAGTTACTCTGTTCCAGAAAAGAGTTTGGGGGGTTGCATGGCGTGAGTGTCTCTAAATCATTTTTTCCAACATTTATTCTTGGAGTGTGATAGCATTTGATATAAATTTCAGCAAGGCCCAAAGAGTCTTCCATAGTCATTTGAGGGGCCTGAGGAAACAGAATGACCACAGTGTGTCTGTCACACTTCAGCCATGACCCCTGTCTCTGCCCAACCTTTGATCAAAAGTCTTCTCCCCTCCAGGCGGGCAGTATTGTGAAGTATCACATACATTGCTAGCTGCATGTGAAGAAGCCTTATACTCTAAAGGCCTCTTTAAAAGCAGAACAGTGGGGTTTCATTTTTATATTTATTAACTAATTTATAGGATAAAGAAGGTAAGGTACTGATATTCACGTAGCAAGCGTAAAAGTCTTAAAACATTTGAAGATTTCCCTAACTGCTAGACATTCGTATTTTGCATTGCAAATGTTGTATAAATAGTATTTTGAGTCTTAAGGGAAGTAAACATTTTAGAAAAATTGCCTAGTGTATTTCATTATGTTAACTGATTGCTATTTTAGCCATTGCTTTAAGTTTGTAACAGTAAGCCCATAAGATCTAAAACTTACTGAATCTTGTATTTTAAAGCTGTTTAATATCATATTTTCTTCTTACAGGTTTATACAGTTTAAATGCAAATACTATAGTTCTTTTGTATGACGTCATACAAAATCTATATAGTAATGATTTTAAAAGTGTGTTTTTTCCTGTCAGAAAGAAATCTTATCTAGTACTTGATCATATCCCATCATCTTCACTTAATCCACCTTCTTTCTTCTTTTCTTGACTGTAATAATGTTATCCTCCAGTCTGATCAGTCAGTCAAGAAATTGATCTCTTTTAAGACTAAAACATGCTGATAGATGGAGAAAAGGATACAATGAATGTTTCTGTTCAAAAGTCAAGCTCGTAATAATACTGACTAAAGTTTCATGATCTGTGTAGAAGTGTGCATTAGCATGCAGAAACACATCATCATTGATGAGTATCATTAATATGCAGTAATTAAAGAGCACCTAGTGTGGCAATTGTAGTGACTTCTGATAGCGTGGTCTGAAGTTGCTGCTACTTTTTACATTCACTCAGTGCATTCATTTAAACTGAAATGTCTGAAATCAGTATTTCATGTAAATTCATTTGTATGGTCATTTGGGGCAAGTTAAAAGACAGAACATGGAAAACAAACCATATGTGCTCTTTGTAAGGATGTGAAGTAGTTCTTTGTACTGAAGGGACGAGGCAGGGGAGATGGTAAGTCCTTTCACATGCTTTTGTGTTCCTGGCAAAAAGAGAATACACCTGTGGCTGTAAGTATTCCGGGCTAAAACTTGCTCACCTGTTATTCATGTCAGTGTTCCCTTTCTCATTTGAGCAGTCCCGTTGAAATTAACAGGAATGTTGAGGAGAGTAGGCCTGGGAAGGACAGATCCCGTCTCTAAAGATGTATGTCTAGTGAGCATCAAGAGGCGTTGCTTGCCGGCAGAGCTGACGACTTAATCCTGGCAGCCCGGGATTTTAACTTGGATCCTGTTTGAGTTGGTTTACAATTCTGCAGCGGAAGTCATATGGTAACTATTTTGATATACCATTGAGATATCTGCCAAAACTGTTGGAATAACAGACATAATGTTTTCTGTGCCCAGGGATTTACTGATGGAGATCTGTCAAAAATTCAGTTTGGAGGAGCTAACGTCTCGGGATTTCAGATAGTTGACTATGATGATCCTCTGGTGTCAAAATTTATACAACGCTGGTCAACACTGGAGGAAAAAGAATATCCTGGTGCACACACTAGTACAATTAAGGTATGTCTTACATTTATTTTGACCATGACAGACGTACAGGAAGTGAGGGAATGGGAATAGAAAGACAAGAGACAGAGAAAGCCCTTCAAAATCAGCTGTACCAACACAATTTTATATTTCTCTGGGGTACTTTCAACACTGTCTATCATAGGACTGGTTGAGCAGAGATGCTGCACTGTCAAAAATGTTCAAGACAACTTTAATTTTTCTTGTGTTGCTGTAAATCTGCACCTGACAGTTTGTTAGGTAATGGTTTTGGATGTGATGATTTATTAAGTATCTACTGAGTTTTTTGTCTTTTCTCTTTCTTTGTTATGAAATGTTTTAAAGGCAAATACGTAGTCATATGTAGGCTTCCAGGGAGCACAGGTCTAGCACTTTCTGATATAACAATCTCCTAAAGAAATGGTGAGACAGTTTGAGACAGATGCCTAAATGCTGCAAAGACTTTTAAAATTAAATGGTATGCCAGAGGTACTGAATCATGGTCTGATTTCAGGCCTGAGTGGCACAAGATGTGACACTGGGCAAGTGTTTAATTTTATCTAAGTTTTACCTCAGGAAAAAAATAGGATAATAGTACCTTCTTATCTTCTGTGACCATTATGAGGATCAGTTAGTGCTTGCAACATGTTAAAAAGAATAACACCATTTTAAAGCTAAATAATTTTCTTTTAAGTAATAGAATAAAAAATGTTATTAAGAATGAGTATACTTAAATAACTCTAAAATTTATTAAGACAAAAAGATAAATGGCAAATGTTCTAGTGTCACTTTTATTTGTGCTATAATTTGAATTTGAAGCATATTTTTGATATATGATGAGATGGATAAGAAGTTTCAGCAAGGAATGGAAGAACCATTCTTCTTAAATTCCTGGAACAAAAAAACCTTTAAAGCACACAACCTTAATTTAAACTAAAAAATAAAGTTTATAGATTCCTTTTTTTCTGAGGCCAGATGTGGGGGTGACAGTAAAAGTTATGATTTTTCTGTGGTTATTTTTGTATTTTAAAATCTTTATAACAGAATAAGTGAATTTCTCATTTGAAGTTTGACAAAATAAACGAGAGTCTGTGTCATGCCTTTAGATACATTCATCTTACATACATGTCATATATGTGATAAATATTGGTCTCATTTAGGGAAAAAAGGGAAGAGATGTGGCTGTAGGTGATTGTTACAATTCTTTTGCCTCTCTGACTCTTGAGTGCACAAATCTACCAACCTACCTACTAATGTTGCAGAATTGTGGTCTGGAAATAATCACTGTGAAAGGCATGACTAAAATTAAAAGTCTAGCTGAAACCAAGATGGAGTTTTTCTCATTGATGGAAAAGTAAATCAGTGGGAGACGGTGCAAAGGATTCTGGTACCTCTAGTATTACAGTAGGCGGAAATTTCATTTGTGTTAGATAAGATGAACTGGTTGCAATATTTTATTATAGCATTAAAATCTGTAACTGTATCACAGGTCTTCCTTTTATTTCTCCCATGGTGGGTCCTTTCAAGTCTACTAGAAATTGAAAGGGCTGAAGGAGACTATTTGGACTATCTTATATTTTTGAGGTTTATTTTGTTATGGATAGGAAAAATAGGTGAATTGAAAAACTTTTCATTAATCTTATTAACATAAAACACAGTTTAAATTCAATTTAAAAGGCTAATCTGTCTTCCTTTATATATTGTCTGCTCAAGGACTATACAGGATTGTACTGATGTTCAATCAAAAGATTGAGACTTGTTAAATTATCATATAATCTATCAATGCTAGAGGTACTGATGAGGGGAAAACCATGGATGTATATTCCAATGTTTGGAGAGATTGATTGTATCAATTACTATATTTTTTTGTGTTGCTTTCTATCTTTTACCCTTTTACACGTATTACTAGTCATTTTTGCCTGCTGTTACGTGTAAGAACAGAGACGTCACATTTCATTCCCATCCCTGAGGGAGCTACAGGCAGAGCAGAATCACAGAAATCATAGAAACATGGCAGGAAAGGTCTTTGAGCAGGTATAGCAGAATCAGGTATACCTGTGCATTTCCTGTGATTTCACAGCTTCCCCAAGTGTTCTATTGCAGACCTTAAATAGTCTTATTTTTTGCTTTTCATCTAACCTAAATCAGCCTTTGTATCACTAATCTGTTACTCCCCTTTATCTGTTTCTAATGGATGTGAGGAAGTTCCTTTTGGCTGTCCTTCTTCTGTGTTTGAAGATGGCTGCCATATGTGTCATTGCTTTCCTGCCTGCTAAACTAAATAATCCCCTTTCCTTTGAATTTTCTACTCTCAGATCCTGTTGGTCCGGAACCTTTCTAATTGGTACCCGTCTTCTTTGAAATGCCAGATTGGGTACTGCACCACATCTGAGTGCTGTGCTGTAGAAATCAAAATAATGGTTTCATGTATCTCAGAGGCAGTACTCTTTTCAGGGCTTCCTTTTGTGTTACTCTTTTTTCCTCACCATCATGACACTGTTGAAATATATTTATCATGAGATACACACTTACATCCAGATCTTTTTCTCCATTGCTCTTCTATACTGCTGCCAATTTAGACAGTCTCATATAATATCTGTGCACTTGATCATTCCTTTAAAATACAGGATTTTTTTTATATGGTCTTGTTGAATTACATCCCTTACCTGTTCTTCCTGAACATGCAGTTCCTTCTTGTATTAATATTCCAACTGTGTTTGTTATCCTTTACTTCTTGGAATAGTGTATACGCATCTAAGTTACTGAGCAGGTTAACTCCCTGGTGTCCCATTTGTCCCTTCTGTGATCTTACCAATAACCTTTCTCCCTTTTTGGTTTTGAGGCAGTTGTCCAGATTGTCAGTGGTTATAAATGAGCTTTTGCCATTAGTTCCCATGGAATTTAGGAAGCTGTCACTGCAAATTCCGTATGAAACAGATAGAAAGGCTAATAGAAGTCCTGTGTTATCAGTACAGAAATGAGGGGAGGTTACATGCCCCTAGCAGGTAATGTTATCTCTGGGGCTGCAAATGCTCTCTCATTGCAGGCAATTGCATTGCAACAGTATTGTATTATCTTCCTTTTGTAATCCAAAAGGAAGTATAGATTCAATTTACATTATAAAATGCAAGTCAGTGGAATATGACCAAGCTGACATGACAAGACATATGACAACATCAAAGTACAGTCCTGAAAAGAAAGACATCTCTTTCTAAGATAAAGTCCATTTCTTCAGGAAAGAAAAACATTGTGGAAAATCTTTCACAGATGCCCAGAAGAGGACCTGTATCAAATTGCTTTAAAAATGTATTTTTGCAATTTATAAAATATTAATTACAAGAAAAGGTAGTCTTAGGACATTGCTGAGAAGAGAAATTGTTTTATTTGTTGCTGCACTGTACTCATAAAAACAACAAGATTTGAAGATTAAGTTGTGACACCTAAAACTAGTGCTTTGCTGTCTTTTTACAAAAGGTCTTTTAATTTTTCAAAAGGTGATATATTGTTTACCTCATTAAATTTAGAATATATCTGTTGTAACTGAGGGTGTTATTAGTCTGCAAGTCTAGAAGAGCTGGGTCTTGAAACATACCATGGAGCATCCAGGTCAATTTCTTTGTCAAGTAGCAAAACAAAAGCTACATTAAATTTTATAAGGGCCTGATAATAACAAGTGGAAATCCCCTTTTGATCCATTATTGTGAATTTAAAAATACGCTGGGCTTTGTGAATCTTTGTGTTTCAGATTTTCAGATTTTCAAGCTTCATAATGTTCCCCACTGCCCACCCCCAAGCAATCAATGCATAGTTGAGGTAACAAAAATATAGATTCTTTTTGCCTTCTGTCATGGTTTGACCCAAGCTGGCAGGCAGGACCACACAGCTGCTTGTGCTGCTCCCCTGTCCCCCAGTAGGGCAGGGAGAAGAGGGAGAAAAGGAGGGGAATGGGATAGGGGAAAAAAATCTTGTGGGTTGAGATAAAAGTATTTTAATAGAAACAATAGCAGAAAAGGAAAATAATAATAGTAATTTAACAATAATAATGACAGAAGTCACTCTCACTGCCTGGTGAATTGGCATTGTCCCGAGCAGTGATCTTGGATTCCCACTCCCTGGCCAACCCCCATTTATATACTAAAGATGATGTCTGTGGTACGGGACATCCCATTGGCCGTTCCATGGTTCTGTCTAGGCTCATTCTCAGCCTCTATGGGAAGCTGAAAAAAAGTACTTGAAAAATATAAACACCACCTGGCAACAGCTAAACCAATATGCATTATTGGCATTCCTTTCATACCAAACCTGAAACACAGCAACAGCTAGAAGGAAAATTAACTGTCCCACCTGAAACGAGGAGACCTTCTGATTTTGCCTTCAGTAGTTTCACATTTTCAAGTCTCTTTTTTATAGCCAGGTCATCTAGTCTTTTAGAAAATTATTACAAAATATATATATTTTTTTTCCAAAGATAATGTGGTCCTAGAATTCGAAGTGTTCGTGTAGTACCAAACAGTATGCTTTTTATGATAAAACTGCAAACGTTGAAAACTGCCAATTTTAAACTGTAAGTCAGGAAGAATGAAGCTTGTAATTGAAAGCTGCTAGTTCAACTCTACTGGTGCTGATTTACCTCAAGGTTGGAATACAGAGAACATGCAGACAAATACAAAAGTACTGATTTACCTTGCAGAAATAATTAAAATTTAGATGACGCATTGATAATAAGGAAGAAAGAAGAAAACAATGAAAACATTTCTTCAAACTTGAAATTCAGAAAGCATTTGATCTAGGTATAGGCGACTAAGCAAAAGCATACAATTAATGAATAAGACAATACCTTAATTTTGGGGCATGTCTCTTGTGATTGCAGTGTGTTGGAAAATGGTTTTATAATACCAGGCATTTTAATAAGAGTTATAAGTGATATTCTGTTGCACCTGCTACACTTTTCATGGAAAAATGTGATTTGATTATGCCTGACTTCAAGTAGATTATAATCGATTTATAAATAAGAA